TACTACATCATCGAATCGTTTCGATTCGATCATGCATATTTAAATGTTAAACAATTAATTCAATCTAAAAAAAATAACATTTACATATTTTACGATACGCGAAAGATTAATTGTTCCAATTATCATCGAAGTATTAATTATCAAATTCGCCGCAACTGCATTCTCTTATTTTCTAAACATAAATGAATATATAAATGCATATTCGTTTACAGCATGATTGATACATTCATTTATGTATATGAATACGTAAGTTATATACAAACTAGAGAGATCGACGTTCGAATTATTCTACCGTGAAAGAAGGAAGGAAGATAATGCGATAAAATAAAAGGATACTTGTGCGCTTGCGCCGATAATAAACGTTCAGTGACGTTTATCGTATTAGAGAAACGTTTGTTAAAGCGACGAATCGTAAGAGTTCTCCAAGTATACTATACATACATACTTACACACACATACACGCGTGCATACATGCATATAGTTCGTTATCGGTGTTATACGTGCGTCGCGATTAAAGTTCATCGATTATTGTCGTCGTCGTCATCGTCATCGTCTTATTTCTCGCCATTTAAAAAGACTAACTCATAAAACGATCATTTGTATATAACTATCTATGTAAATTTCTCTTAAAATTTATGATGATTTTCTAATAAGTAGATTTTCGAATGCTTGGATAAGTATGAGTTACCTTCTTCATGTTACGCGTAAAAACACATACACGCGTGTGCATATACGATTTATTTGTAGTTTGTCGTTGTTGTCGAGGTCACCGACAGCCAGAGATGTGTTGTACGATTGTGTGTGTGCGCGCACGCACACTCCTGCGGTTCACACTGTCACTGGCGACCTTTCGAATGGCGCGAAAAAAATCTTATCCCGGTTGCCACCTCGAAATGCCACGAGTATTTGTTGCGAATGACAGAATCCTCTCAACTCTCTTGAAAGACTTTAAAAGTGAAAGAGAGAAATAGAGTTGATCGAAAGTTAGCAACAGCAAACAGCAGCAATGGCAACGATAGGTATAAAGGAATCGAATGGTTACAAATATCTAATCTCATCGGTCTTTGTAAAGGACGATACGACTATTACTATCTTTTTCCTATATTGATTATTTCTGCATCTTGTCATGTAAAATGGCGACGCGCGTCAATAAGACTATCCTTGGTATTGCATCCATTTATATTTTACATTTATTTTTCTGTCTTTTAAAATATTACAATAAAAGGAAATAAAATTATTTCTTTTTTTGTTTTTCTATTTTTGTGCATATAATACTATAGTTTATAAAGAGAAATAGAGAGAAGAGGAATATAAAAGCTCGTGAACATTCGTTCCTAGATAGGCACCTGCGGTTAAACGCTTGTTTTCTCAGGAGTTGGAGTATATTTACGTACGTATTGTTGCTTGAGCAAGAAACAGAGGAAGGGAGTGATGAAGAGAGGGAGGGAGGAAGGGAGGAAGAGAAGCTAGCCTGCGGAATGTGTTGTTCAGGGGGATAATAACATGGATCTTCTCGATCTCTGATGAGTTAGAACATACCATGATGTGATTTCAAGCGAAGAAAGGACGAGATCTGTTAGATGCATTCGCCAAAATTCACATATCTTTTAAATTATTTGAAAGAAATTTTATTTAGTGTATTAAAATCGTTCGTATCTTTACACCGGGTTACCTTAATTTATAGTAGCAAGTAAAAAGGGGTGTAAGTCGTGCATAAAAAAAGTTATTATTATTATTATTATTGTTATTATTATTATTATTATTATTATTATTATGTGGCTCTCGTATCGATGCACTCATTGTTAGGACACGTGTCGTCGTCGCCTCGCGCGATTCCAGTTACGGACATAACCGGTTTTAAGAAGGCACTCCCGATTTCCATATTGACCGAGCACTGTTTCTCTCCTTCGTTCAACGACGAATCGGCTGCTCGCCTCCTCCGCAAAAATAAAAAGAGTCAAACAGAGAGAGAGAGAGAGAGAGAAACAATATTTTGTAAAAAAAAGAGAGACAAAAAGAAAAAAATGTCTTTTGTCTCCAGGATGCATACATGCATCCAAAAATAACGATAACGATGGAGGAGGAGATCAAAGCCCCTGCGAAAACATCGTCAGCGAGACTTTTACGAGTCGGACAGAGAAGGAGAAGGATTACGATGATGAGGTGGTGGAGGAGGAGAAGGAGGAGGAGGAGGAGGAGGAGAAGGAGGAGGAAAGAAAGAAAGAAAGAAAGAGATCTCATCCTGGATCGCTTTCGCGCCACGACGACCTCGGAACGACGAACACTCTTGTTTACGTGTCGCGACACGGTGTGTCTTCTCAGCATTCGAGAGTCTCTCGAATCCTCGTTTCCATCCTCCGCCATCTCCTCCACCTTCATCTTTTCTTCTTCTTCATCTCTTTCCCGAGGAGTTGTCCTGATTTTAGTGAAGTGTTTCGATCGGCATATCCGCCGTTCATTCTCTTTCTCTCTCTCTCTCGTCGCCCATGAGGAGAGCACGCGCTCAGGTCCGTCTGCCTCTCCCACTCGTTCACCTCAGAACATACTCGAGGATCTTTCCTCTCTCTCTCTCTCTCTCTCTTCTTTCTTTCTTTCTGTTCGCGTGGCTAACGCCGATTTTAACCGAACTCCTCCGAGACCCGGCTATTATATATTGTATGTGTCGGCCGTGAAAGAACAGAAAATCCATTTTATAAATCCCCTTTAAACACGTATACCTAGAATTTTCTCTCCTTCTCAGGGATCAAATCTTTCGATCTTTGTTATTTTAACAAGGGAAAATGACTTCGAAAGTATACCAACAGTAAGTTTTCTTTATCGGGGCGCAGTAATAGCAATAGTAATATGTATAATTGTGTGTATATAACTATAGATATAACGTGTAGATTCCTATTTCGAGAAATCTCGAACTCTCGAAAATTGGAACGAAAGGAAGAATCCGTGTGCGCTTCTCTCTCTCGTAGAACTGGATCTACTTTCGAATGGCCTCGTTACGCGACAATGAGCTACCAAAGACGAATGAATGTGTGCTTCCTCTTCGTCATCGTAGTCGTGTCATTGTCTATATGCATGTGTATGTATGGATAAGTATATACATATATACATACATGCATACATACATTTAACGCTCTCGTAGGATTCGTTTCTCGTGCCCTTCGTCTCCCGTTGTTTCGCCTATTCTTGTTACATCGAGAGATCTTTCCATCATTGTAAAGAAAACGAGATCGTTTCGAAAAACGACCAGAGGAAGGGTTATGCTTTTTTCTCTACGCCGATAATAACCAAAAGAGGAAGGAAGTTTGATGTATTCGTTTGTCGCGTATTTAGAAGAGAAAATAATCGATGGTTAATGTCCTTAAAAGTTCATTCAGCTGGTTCGCGACCTCGAACGCTTTTTAGCAGCCCCCATAGTATTGGGACTCTCTTCTCCCCATTTTACTGCTATTGCATCCTCTCTCTTTCCTCTCTTTCTCTCTGTCTCTCTAAAAGAGAAACCGCGTTGCGTCTCGTCGTCGTCATTCTTTCTCTTTCTCTTTCTCTCTCTCTCTCTCTCTCTCTCTCTCTCTCTGTCCCTTTCCCTGCCTCTTTCCCTGCCTACTACCACTCTTTCTCTCGTTGCCGAGCGCAAGCTGTGTTAGGGTCTTTTGTTGCGTGCCGAGTAGGCTCTAGTTGACGAAATATTGACATCCGAGAATAGAAACCCGTTGTGGGCTGCTTTACCGAGGGGTTCGCCACCGGATGGGGGAAGAAGGAAGGGAAGAAGGAAGGGAAGAAAGAAGGAACACAACGTTCGACCCAAGTGGATGGAGAGAGTATACTACGTGTATATATGAAAGAATGAGAAAGAGAGAGACGAACCAACGAACGAACCAACGGAGTTTCGGTTGGGTCGCTCTTTGCATTGAGCACGAATTTAAAGGGGGTGGGACGTGGATGACGTCAACCTCGGAAACTCTCCCTCCCCACGTGCTATATCGGGACGTGTATGCTGCGTGTGTGTTACATGAACGTAAATGTGTTATATATACATATTTTTATATATATATATATATATATATATATATATATACATATATGATGCGTACTATGCGCACACGTGTACGCACATACTTACACCCGTCTCTCGCGACCTATTGAATTCCCACGAGAGGCTATTATTCTGGATTTGTTTTTGTTCAATGCGTCGTAATCGCGTGGAGAACAACCACGACGACGACGACGACGACGACGACGACGACACGACGACGACGACACGACGACGACGACGACGATACCTCGATGGTTCTCTTCCTCGATTTTATCTTCTTTAAATTTAACGTCTTCTCTTGTATTATTTTTCTGTAACGAGGGAACATTTTTAAATATCGACACTCAAGATTTCTATCTTATCAACGATAAATGCCATCTTGCGAAGATGAAGTTTCTTTTATCAAGAAAGTTGTACAATTTGTAATAATTTAAACATTAAAGTTATGGGAAAACATTGAAAAATGATGCCATGATTAAGTTAGGTAGAAAATAAAAGTTAGGTCTATCTTAGATTGTGCCTTGGCAGAACGCTCGCACGCTGTGTTTATAGCGGCGGTGTGTGAATAGCGAGCACGTGTATTTCCCACAGAAAGAGAGGCAATGGGGGCTACGCGCTATGGCGTGGCCAGCTGGAAGTATCAACGGTTTGACGCGGTTCGCTCGTTCGCCCTTTCTACCTATATATACACCTTCATTCGTTTTGTCGAATGAATTTCTTTGAATGTCCTTGCGTTAACCCTTGCACTACCGATCCTTGCACTTCATAACGGGATGAGGTTTTTACTATAATTTGAAACATGATACTGTTTGCTTTTAGCCTCTGGTATATTAAAAATGATCACTTAAATGATCGCTACCTGTTTATTACTCCCCGGTTATATAAATTGTAATCACTTAAAACTGATGATCAAGTAATATCTATCTGTTTAAACGATAAACTAATCGGTCTGGAATATTGTGTTTTAGAATTCCTGGAAGACGTTTGAACGTTCCTACTCCTCGACGCGAAAGCTCGATATTTTTCCAAGAGTCGGTACCTATATTATTATCAAAAACGGCGGCTATCGGCGTCGGGGTGCAACCTGTGTTATCATCCGGCTATCATAACACAGTGCCACCTCAGAGCGGGGGTGGTGGTTCGACATTTAGTGCCGCGGCGATGGTGGCAGCTGCCACCGCTACGGCCACCGCCACTGCTAGCGTGGTGGCCATGCAGGACCGCCAAGATATCCCCGCACAATTCAATCAGGTACACTACGATAAGTACCAAAAGATAGAAGCTTATCCGATAAGTAATCGCGCTATAATTTATTATCAATTTCCTATGTTCCTTGTTATAGATGCAAAGTCAACATGGGATACCCCCCCATCAAGCGTACAACACAGGGTACGCTCAAAGAGGACCAATGGCTGGAATGGGGCCAGTTGGAATGAGCAATTTTAACGGCATGGGCGCCATGAGCCCAATGCATTCTATGAATTCCATGAATTCGATGAACAGTATGAGTGGGATGAACTCAATGAATCCTATGACACTGGGAAGCATGAACGGCATGAACGGCATGAACGGTATGACCAGTATGAACGGTATGAACCCCATGAGCTCCATGAGTAACATGGGTAATATGGGAATGAACAACATGATGGGACCTAACAACATGCAGATGAATAAGATGAACATGCAGGTAATTTTTTTTTTCCTATTTTTTTTCTTGATGCTAAGTAAAAATGACGATGACGTTGACGATAAACACTTACGATTGATCTGTTATTCAGACGCAACCTCATCAAGGATACCCAAGAAGATTAGCTCCATATCCTAATCCAGCCATGCATATGGCGCAAAAGAGGCAGCAGGGTCCTTACGCCAATCCTAATCCTGCAGCAATGCAGCCAGGTTTTAACACGATGTCGACGACACAATATCCAAATAATTATCCGGCTACGGCAAGACCAAACTTCCAGCCTCAGTATCAACCGATGCAAGGCATAAATCCCGCCGCCGCTGCCGCCGCCGCCGCCGCCGCGGCTGGTTTTGGACCGAATTCTATGATACGTGGTAACTTCACAATTAATTCATTATTCGTATACATTATATATTACAGAAAATGTCATTCGAATATTTACATTAATATATAAAGTTAAATTTGTGCTTATCATTTTGAAAAAATAATAATATTTTGAAGGGACGAACATGAGGCAAACGACGCCATCGTATAATACGGCGTCGCAGGCAGCAGCAAACCAATACTTTAATAGCAATGGTGTACCAGTTAGTATGGGACCTACTACTGTAGGGAACCAATACATTGGTCATCAACAAAACACAGCTTACGGTGGGGGTGGACAATCTCCGTATGTAGCTGCTGCTGCTGTCGTTGCTGCAACCACAAGTCAATACCAACAGGATGTGGTGGCGCCGATGAGAACGACGGGAGCAGCGAACATGAACTATCAGCATAGTCCTATACCTGGAAATCCAACTCCCCCGTTAACACCAGCGACGAGCATGCCACCTTACATTAGTCCAAATCCGGACATCAAACCAAATTTCAATGAAATCAAATCGCCTGTCAATATACAAAGTAAGTACACGCAACATATATATATAAAAATCAAATATTTCTTTTATACAATTTATACGATATTTAACAATGAATCGTTTTGTTCATAGAAGACGATGAATTAAGATTAACATTCCCTGTTAGAGACGGTATCATTCTTCCACCATTTCGCTTAGAACATAATTTGGCTGTAAGCAATCACGTGTTCCAATTGAAATCAACGGTACATCAAACGTTAATGTGGCGATCTGACCTGGAACTACAGCTTAAATGTTTCCATCACGAAGATAGACAGATGAACACGAATTGGCCCGCAAGCGTTCAGGTTTCTGTCAATGCAACGCCACTCGGTATTGATCGTGGCGAAAACAAAACATCCCACAAGCCTCTTTATCTAAAAGACGTCTGCCAACCGGGAAGAAATACTATACAGATTACAGTATCCGCATGCTGTTGTGTAAGTAACTAGAAATATTAATCATACACATACGTGGAATATTAATATTTATAAATGAACAATTCGTACATATTATTAATACAAATATTTATTTTCGTTTGCAGTCACATCTATTTGTTCTCCAATTAGTTCATCGACCAAGCGTACGTAGCGTTCTGCAAGGTTTATTGCGCAAGAGATTACTTACTGCAGAACATTGCATATCTAAAATCAAAAGAAACTTTAATAATACGATCTCGAGTAACGGCATTCAATCCGAGAAGGATGTCGTGGAGCAAACAGCACTTAAGGTAAGAATGGTAATATTGCTTTATATTTTTATATTCAACTTACGAAAATTTGTAGTTCTATTGAAAATATTTGACGAACCTTTTATCTTTGTTAACACAGGTATCTTTAAAATGTCCTATTACCTTCAAACGCATTACACTGCCAGCGAGGGGACACGATTGCAAACATATACAATGTTTCGACTTAGAGTCTTACCTGCAATTAAATTGCGAACGGGGTTCATGGAGGTGTCCTGTTTGCACGTAAGTATTCCAAAATCCAATCGATGATTAATCGTAATAATTATCAGTTTAAACAAAAACAATATTATTATTAATAACGTTATTATTTTGAATTAATAGAAAAGGAGCTCAATTAGAAGGTTTAGAAATTGATCAATATGTATGGGGTATTTTAAATACTTTGAATACAGCAGAGGTAGAGGAAGTAACGATAGATTCTGCGGCTAATTGGAAACCAGCTAAGAATTTAGCGAACATTAAATCGGAAGAGGAAAACGATTGTAAAAGAATGACGAAGGCAATGTCACCTGGAAGTATGAATATGCCTACTATGAATAACTGGGATATGAACCACCAAGCTATGAGTCCTTATATACCTCCGGATATGAGCAGCATAGTAAGCGGTTCGATGATGAACAACACTTCGTCCACATACGGAAATAACAATATCAATAGCAATATCAATAATAATATCAATCACCGAAATTCATCTGGTGGATCATTTGATATTAATCCTGGGACGAATAATACAACCAATAACGATTACAGTAACGGAACGGGACCTCTTACACATTTGAACGAATCTGTGAATTCCTTAGATCCCCTTAATGCTATGGAAAAGTCATTAAATGATCAGGTATGTTTCCCTATCATCCGTAATGGACTAGTCAATTCAACATGAATTATAATAAATCTTTCCTCTTAATGTTTTCATATTTTCATTGAGTATTTTAATGATATAGATGCCGCACACTCCACACACGCCTCATACCCCTCACACACCACACACACCAGGTGGTGGTAACAGTGGTCCACCAAGTGTTCCTCCTGCATCTCAGGAATCTACAGGAAATCATAATACGTCTGGTAGTACGAGTACAAATATAAATAACGATACCGCGGATATACCGTCAGACTTAAATTTCGATCCAGCTGCGGTTATAGATGGGGAGGGTACTGGTCAAGAAGCGTTGAATGTAAGTATTAAATAATATATTTTATAAATGTATTTTTTTTTCTGGGGATGATCAATTAATTTTTCTCTTTTTTTTTTTTTTCTTTTTTTTTCTTTTCTTTTCTTTTTAGCTCTTGCCGGACAATGTCGTAGATGCAATGGAGCTGCTTTCATATTTAGAAACACCAGATTTAAATACTCCTCCTAGTAGTGGAGCAAGCAGCGGAAATCCCTCATCTAGCGACGACATATTAGCACTTTTTGAATAAGATCTCTCAAGGAACTATATTACTTCGTAATGAAATCAAATTATGATCCTGAAATCAGGGGTATGCGATCATCAGATTAGCATCCTACTGAATAATAAATAACAATTATTCCGATTTATATATGACGATAATCGTGTTTGAGGGATATAAGCAAATGTGTTGGATTCACAGTGGGTGCTCTCACCTAATCAATGGTACAAACAATCTTAGCTCTAATTGTAATAATTCCTATTGAAATGAGTTAGGGCATATGACTAGGGTAATGACGACTTTTAACATTAGTACAGCAAACACGATAATTAGTGCTTGTCTGTAAAGATTTTATTGCATGGATGGCACAATAGACTTATATTAAGATATGTTAGTTGTTCTACTGAGCAAATGTTTTATTGTAATTTATCGATCAAATTATTCGAATCGATTTAAATTCAATTAAACAACATGATATTTATAGAAATGCAATATAAGGACTTTATTAACGAAATTATTTTGTGACACATTTAAGGGGTATTTTTTTTCTGTTTAAGGATTTAAATTGAAACGTTTGCTCATTGGAACACATAGTGCCACTTCAAATGTTTTGAAGTTTTCCTGCATTATCGTCTTTACGTAAAAGATCGGTCTACTCGCGTTCAAGGCTATGATGGACCTACATCACAACAGAACTATAATGTAAATGTACAGTACTTCTTGTAAATAAGTTTTAATCCAATTAGGTAATACGTTCATCTGTTGTGAACTACCCTGCTTATTAATGGATATAGCGCATATAGTGTTCCTTTCCATTAGATAAATAGTAGAGCAGATGGGAATGAATAATTGAGGGAATATTGGGCTTCACACTGGAGATATAGACAATTATTCTTCACGATGTATCTCCTGAGAAAAGAAAACAAAATTTAGATGCCATTAATGATGATATAAGTCAAAACGTATATTGCAAATAATTTTTGTTTATTTACTCTTTGGATAAATAAAATATTTTTTTCGAGAGGTAATCACTATTTAAAAAAGTAAAAAAAAGACTATATTTAATGTAAAAACAAGAAAAAAGAACAAAAAGGCTATATGATAGCATAAATTTCGATTATTTCTTTATAATTATTCTTTATTATTTTCTCTTTTTATCTCGCACGTTATTAGTTTATTTTAATATATTTTATATTTTAAATTCTTTACATTTTTGAATTGGATAATTATTAAATAAATTAATATAAACTTGTACGAATATAAAATATGACTCGTATTAGGACTTTTAATTTAATCTAACTTTAAACCAACCAACAACTTAAAAATGTTAACTGAAGTGATATGTTGAAAATAAAAATATCTTCAAACAGTAGTATTAATCTAACAGCAAGCATATTGCAAGTATTAATAAGATATATCTCTCAAGATACATCCAAATTTAGATACAATTTGCATACACATATAGAGTTTATTTTCACATTTCTGTAACAGATGTTTGCGTTAATGGTTTGAATTTACTTTCAAGTTGTTTTTTTTTTATTTTTTATTTGTATCATTATTATTATCATTACTATTATTATTATTATTA